AATATATAGGATATAGATCTTAAAAGATTACCTACAAAAGTAAAATACGGTTATTTCGACAATGAAGATGGGAATTGTGACGACGTTCATTTTTATGAGCTGGCAAATGTTCATTTAAAAAAACAGAATTGGAATGTGGATGTTTTAAAAAAAATACTTAAATCCCTATGCTACGTATATAAAAAAAGTTTAAGAGAAGACTTTGATAAATCTATTTGTTATTACCTGTACTATAGGTTAAGTGACACATTATATACTAATATAACATATCATTTAACCTATGCAATTTTTATGGACGTACTTAATTTTTTACTAAAATGTAATGCAGGCACGTATATATGTGAATATCCTCATCATGAAATAGATTAAACAAATTTTAAAGATTTTAAGTTAATATATGTTTATTCACAAGATTATAATAACTATAAATTAGATCTTCTGATACCTAATAGCCCTTGTACTAAACCATATAAGGTTTACCCTGATAAATATTTCCAAACATATAACAACATAGATCAAGAGTGCTCTGTGTTAACTAATAAGCCAAATTATTGTACGCATTTTGACCATTATTTTAAAAGTATGAATAAATATGAATTAAAAACATTTTCATGTAAAGTAGTGCAAAATATCTTTGACTTGGAAACACAACTGAATGATCATTATACAGTATCCCAATAACGCGAAAAAGGACAATTAAGAACGACACGGCCACATGAAAAAGAGAAAATAGGAAAAGACCAGTTACGTCTAGATAGAGAAAAAGAAGAAATAAAGGCATAGATAATCCTGAATGTCAACAACCTTTAAATTATGAAACTTCAACTAATCCTTATTTAATTCTTGGACATCAAATATTGAGCTCCTTTACTGATATTTCGGATAATACTTCAGCTTCCTCATCCTCAAAAATTGTGATTGTTGTATCCTTACTTAGAGGAATTACAGTTTCTTCTATTTTATTGTGGAAAGTAATTATTATTTTGAATAAAAAAGAATATGTATTACCTTATATTAAATAAATTTTATTGATATTTAATTATATCCTATGAATATCATATATAATATATGCTCTGCATATACCACATTTTCAATAGTTTACTCAAGTTGAGTATTGGTTAAAAAAAAGCCTTACTAGGAAAATCTAAAAGGAAACGTAATATTACGACGGATAGAAATATATTAGAAGATTATACTATTCCTGGAAATCTAGACTCACCTAGAAAATTTAATGTCAGTTACAGTAATATATATTAGTTCTTATTAGGACATACAGAGGAATATTTTTTTTACATATGTAGCTATCATTATAAGAATTGTTTTACAGAGTTATTCGTCTAAAAAAAGGGAAGGAATTACTTTATTTTTAATAATAGAATAATAAATTTAAAATGAACATATGTATTATATAAATAAATATTGTTTTTAGAATTACAATATTATTATTTTCATCATATTAATAAACATATTGTAAAAGTTTTACATATTCTAACTTGAAAATGTATAATGATTAAGAATTAGACTTAGAGTACAATGCAGGGGGTTGTTCATGTGTCTTAATATTTATTGTTTATTTATTAGTATATCATTGCTTCGGGATACATGTAACATTTTTTTTCCTAATATATATATAACTGTGCAGTGACGATGAACACTAGAAAAATATATTATATGATAAAAAACTACGAATCTATATTATATTCACTAGTTTTTTATATTGATACTTAATATATATTTGTGGTATTACTGAAATATTATAGTGAACATCTGAGTTTATGTTTTTGTTATATATTTGTTGCATATAATGATAAATATATCGTTATTTATAGTGATTATAAATTATAATAAAATGATCATGAATTTTTTATACATAGGATAACTGTAATGATTCTGATATGGTATGTTCGAACATCACTATTTAAGAAAAGTATTTTAATACATCATATAATATAGATTTATATATTATATTATGGCAATATTATATATATTACTTGAATTAATAGAACTGTTCTATTTTAACATATATTACAATGGAAACTCAAAATAAATTCACTTTATTTATATATCTTTATAAATTAATAAAATAAAGCAAAAATAATTATCATGATATTTTTTATCTCACTTGTGATAGAAATCTCTTTACTACAAAATACATCCTTTACATATATTAAATACAGATTTATGGTGAAACGAATTTTTATTAATATTATGTATTTTTTAATATAGAATATCAAATAAATTTTTAAATAATGCATAGATATTGAAAAAAGCCTAAAACTATATATCGTTATTAATAGTGTAAAGTGTATCAAGATTTTTTATTAAAAAATTGTACCGAAATTTCAATAGTATCTTCAATTATATATTTATTAATACAAATATCCTAGATTATATTTATACATAAGAAAAATTTATGATAATTGTGCAAATATAGAAAGATATGTTTATATCTTACATTTTTTAATGAATATATTCTTCCTTCCAATATACGTTAATAACGTAATATTTTTAATAATTAGTTGACAGTTATATAAATTATAGTAAATTCCTAATTAATCACGTACACTATTATTACATTCCCATTATATTACAATTATGTATCCTTTAATTTATAAAATCATTCAATATATATGGGATATGTTTTTATTTTTAATAATATTTCCACAAGGCATTTGTATAAAAGTTTTTAATTATAATTTGTATAATAATATGATATTTATATGAAACAAAATAAGGAAGAAAAAACATATTTCTTTATATATGTTAATAAAACGTTATAATGAATTGTATAATATCCATCTACTATTAATATAGTCGTCGTTTAAAAATGTATAGAACACTTTAATATATTTTTACATATATTACCATTATTAGAACAATTAATAATAGATCCTTTTATTATTATACCATTTACGTAAAAATTTTCAATCAGAATTTAATAAAAGTTATATTTCTTTCATTCATGTATTTAGAACTTCTTTATGTTAATAATAGAAAAATTATTAATTTAAATTATATTTTCACAAAGTGCAGGGATATTAGTGAAAGTAAGACCATTATACATTTATTTTATATAAATAATATATTACAATATTTGTTATGTTTATTATTAAAATAATGGTTGATTATAATAATAGATGATGTTAATATACATTAGTTATTTTTATATTTGGCATTCATACAAAAAAGGTATAAGTGTCAAGGTACCATAAATTTAAAATACTTGTATATCACATACTAATGTATTTTAATTATACACTATGATAATAGTACTCTTTGTAGTGAAATAATGAGGATTAGTTATTATAATATATTATTGGTACATTAATTATATACATGAAAATCTATACAGAACTGTTTTTTCCCTCCATGATAATATATATGCATAAATAATTAAAAACAAATAAAAAATAATAATAATAAAATAAGGCTCAAAATGCAAATTGATAGAAAACAGAAACCATGAAGAAGTTAGAATAATATATTGAATTTTAATGTTTTAATATTTTTATTATGTTAAGTACTTATATAGAATAAAACATTTTGAATGCGTTTAAGTAAATTAAATGAATATGTTATGTGTAACAAGCTAAAATTTTTTGGAGGTACAATAATACATTATAAAAAAAGAATAATATATATATACGAAAAATGAATATAATTGAACGCTTGCAATATAATAAGAGTTATATAGATATTACTAATTATTTATATATGTTTTATACATTTTTCCTTTTGAAACGCACTACATTTATGTTGTAATATTAGCATTAACTCTAATTGATTTTTTTTAATTACAAAATTTCACTATTAACTATACATATTAATTCAAAGAATTTTTTTATCCTTCTTTGCAAAAAACATATGTATATGATATTTATAATTCATGTATTTTTAAGAATATTCTTTATTTGTTACGTATACATTGAATTTACTATTCTATCATTTGATAATTGATAAATATATTTCAATAAATCATTTTTAATAGAGTGATACTTATATTGGCACTCATACATTTTGATAATTTAATGTGTCTAATTCTGATATATATACGTATATATACATAAACTATAAAAATTACAGAACATGTTATAGATAGCATTAGTAATGTTCCTTAATATTTTTATATCTGTGGAGAATGTATATACGTTCTCTAGATATAAATATATAAATATCATATAATGTTTCTTATTAAGAAATATAACAATACTATGATAATATCATTAACATTCTTTTAATCAGTAGTTGATAAGATGTAATAGATATATTGTGTACACTTTTCTTTCAATTATATTTGTAGCATTTCTTAGGCCTAACCGTTAATACATAATAGTTTTAAATATATAAATGCATAAATTTATATATGAATAATTTACTCATAGTTTACATTGAAATAATTTAACATGTCTACTTACATTACAGTTTATTCATAAGTGTATGTAATGCATTAATTTCTTTTTGTGTTCATGAATTAATAATGTACACATTAATATATTTATAGAATTGATGAAGTGTGCTTTATTATTTTTACTATGCTTACTACTACAATATATTTCAGTAAATAATATGTACCGTGATGTTTATATTATTTTTTCATTAACTATATAATTAAATTATTGTTTTAATCATACAATATGTATTTTTATTATATTAAAAGAAATGATTGTTTCTTGAGAATTTTTTATATATTAATATTTGATATATCTATTTTTTTAATGTAATTATTTCATATAAATATTGTAATTTTTTTCTTTATGTACTATGAATTCATCTAGATTATTGATCATAAATTGAATTATAATTTATTATGTAGAAATATGTGAATTCTTCTTTTTCTTTATAATCATAAAAATATAATAATCCTGTATGCTTTCAAATAATTTTATCATTATTTTAATAAATTTTAGTTTTTAATATTTTTAGTTTTCTTTAAAAGATGCATTATATTTTATAGTATTAATTGACATAATATGAATCTAAAAAGTATTAATATACTTTTTTTAGTAGTCTAATGATCTATATCCTATTTCGTAAGTATTATCAAATGAATTATTGTACGATCTTTCAAATGAATCCATTAAGTCTAGATGTATATTATTTCTTTTCATAAGTTGTTTCTTTAATTTCCTAGTTCTTGGATGTAAATATGAACCAAATACGGTATACTAATAATGATGAAAATGGATAACTTTGTCATGAATAGATAACTTATTTAATATGAACTGTTTATAAAAATATATATTGTAAATTGTAAAACAATATACATTTAATAATCTAAATATATATATAACCTTATATAGAAGAAATATAACTATTAATACTGTAAATATTATAACCGTAGTGCTTGTGCTAACTTCTACTAACTTCTCCTCATTCCTTGCTTCCTCAGCCAATGCCTTTAAGAATTCTGTTATTTTAGTTTCCTTATCTATATCATTGCTTATCAATGTTTCATTCTTCTCTTCTTTTATCTTGCTCTGTGAGTTATCCACCGATGTAGTGGTCGTATTATTTTGAGTTGAATTACCTGATGGATCATTATAAATAACCTCAGGTAATGATAGTACTTCAGGATTTTCCCACCAAAATTCACAATACCTATAACCGTCATATTCCTTTTTAAATCTCTTCAGTACATTTTTCATTTTATGTTTATCACCTCTAACATACTCATGCGATAAAAGCCTTTTAAATATGCCATAAATCATTTTTCGATAATACATATTCCATTTAGTGCCTTTTATTGTATAAAAATTTTTATACAATTCATCTAGATCGCGAAATATGCTAAGTGTTGTGTCATCAAAATTTTCTATAAGCTTAGTGCCCTCGCATACATTGAAATTCTGTTCGTTATGTCGCAAGTAATTGCCCTTTAGTTCAATAATTTTTTTATAAGCTTTCTCAGGATCTTCATTACCACAACCAACATTTTTTAATTCTTGTTTAAGTTTGTAGCTGAAATATGTACAAGCATATACTTTATTTATATCAGTATCCTTAAAATGTTCTTTTAAATAATATAAATAACGTCCAAGATATAAGAAATTAACAGTACTAATATTTGGTTTGCAGTTATCTGAAACACCATCTTTATTAAATTGTTGACACATTGCAGATAATTCACTATTTAGTGTAGTATATGATCTGTTTCTCCAATTATCATAATAGCTTTTAACATAATGATAATAATAACTATATGCGGGAAATACTTCATCAAGCTCAAGCTAAAAACAAATATTATGATGCATGAAAAATATATGAACAATTTCTTTTGGAGGATATATGTTGTTATAATGAAATAATGATATTTTTATTATATTAATATAATTTCTAGTTGTAATAACATATAGAGATATACGTTATCTGTAATAATTTGTGGTGTTTGCTTTGTTACAGTCATATTTTGCTTTCTTCAGTTTATATATAAAACTGTTATTTATTTTATTATAAAATTTTGTGGATTAATAGTATAGTAATTAATATCGTATTATAAAACATGAATTCTTATAACCTTATAATTTTTTTTTAAAGAATTTTTAAAATTTATATTTTTATCAATGTATGTCTATCCCTATATATTAAAATACTGCATTAACATTTTTAAGGCATAAAGGCAGAACAATTATATATATAATACGTGAAGGGTTTAGTTATATTTACAACATATTATTCTCTGCATTTATAGATTTTTATATTGCTATACATATTTATTTGCGTAGTTATCACATTTATTTTTTTTTTACGTTTTAATTTTTTTTATTAAGAATTTTAAGATTTATTTTATATTATTATTGATATATATTGTAATTTATACTACAAAAAATAGGTATTGATATGATTGTATAAATTTTTTATAATTATATTATTCATATATGATATTACATAATGCGCATATTACACATTTTATCTTGTTTGTATTATTATAGTTATTTTGTTTAATATGCAAAATTGTTATATTTTTATAATAATAAATCATAATAGGAGTTTCTTTGAATCAGTATTATTTTTATTTTTATTTTTATGTGAGATATATTATTTTTATTTTATATTAGTGTTTTTTATCTTTTTCATTCTAATCATATAATTTACTATATAATACAACGTTAAGTATGATTATATATTTATTGAATATCTTATATTCTATAATCTTTATATATTTATCATTTAGATGATCATTATTTTATCCATTATTTATAAAGAAACTGATTGATAATATTTGACATTTGCTTTTATTAATACTAGGACATTTTTAATTTATTAACTTATAATATTTTAAATATATCCTTTATTTTTTCTCATTACATTATGTTTTTTCCCAATTTAATAAAATTTTTATCTAATTTAATGTGTATAATATATAATATTATAATAAAATATATTTATTCAAAATATATCTTTATATGTAAACTTCTATAAATATAATGAATAATAATCCTAATTGATAGTATTGCAATTTGTATATTTTTATTCATTATACAGTATATAAATTTTTATACTAAGCATTAGTTTCCCTAACATATCAATAAACTATAAACATTTACGGGATTCAAAGGTCTGAATTTTCATTAAATTATATTAATTTATATAAAATTGTGTATTTAATTACTACGTCTATTGTGTATAATAATTATTTATTTAGATTTATTTTCTTTTAGTTTTAAATTTATAAATTATCATTTTATTCATAATGCTGTATCTTCACACTGATGATATGTTAATTTATTTTTAGAATATTATTCGTATATAATTGTGTTGATCGAAGAAAATGGTACAATATTTTGTTTATAGGGCAGTTGTTTATTGTCTATACTTATATATAATGTGAAAAGTTGCATAGTTAAAAATTTTATTCCAAATATTAATGTGAAAATGTACATAGTAAGTCTAAACAATATTGAAATAACAATTGTACCTAAATATTGCATAAGAAAATCCATGTAAATAAATTAAAAATACAATTGATATTATAAAACATAAATAATCACAAAATATAGATATTTAATAAAATAATCTATTACTCTAGTATAATATATTGATTAGTCTTAGAGAATTACATCACATTATGTATAAAGAGAGTATTCAAAAAAAAGGTTTTTGACACCCCATTTACAGCAGACTAATCCATATTAGTTTTACATATGATTAATAAATCTGTATGATTTTATTATTTTTATAACGCTTCCAAATGGTGCAAATTTTATTATTGTCAATTGTAATTTCTTTCTTACTTCATTTATACTAATTTAAATGTATGAAATTATTATAAATACACACACTCATAAAAAGAAATCTTAAATATATTTAAACTGATTATATATATAGAATTATAAGAATTTCTACATAACCTCTACATGTCAGTGGTGTATATTTTGTATAATATATATAATAACATATTGGTAAGGTCATAATTTTTTTAAAACAATATATACAATCCTGAAATCATGTTCAATGAATACTATTAATTGTATATAAAAGAAATTGTATAATTCTGTGTTTATATTTGTACATGGTACTCTCCTTTGAATATAATTCTATAAATGTATTTTTAAACTTCCTACAACCTATATAGAATATATAATTATATATGGGGATATATATTAACATTTAAGAATCCTATGATTCATAATATACAAATTTATTTGTTCATGCATGTACACTAATTATTTGGGACTTTATTTATATAACGTGATATTAATCTAAAAAAATTAAGTTGAAATGATGGTTTCATTCTATTAACTATTTTAATAAATAGTGAACATCTACATTGTTCTAATTTGGTGTATTCTTTACATATCAATCTAACATTAATAAAAAAAAATTCTGCATAACTAAATTTTCAAATGTATATAAATAAATACAATAAAACAGAATCATATCATAAAGTCTCTATATAAAAATGTTAAATAAATAAATTCATTATTATATCTAAATTTTATGAGGTTTATATTATATATTTATTAATAAAATATAATACATATATAACAAAATATATGAAAATTATTTTTCCAATTAGCGTATTGGATGTACATTATTTTATCAGAAATACTACCTAATATTGTAAAAATGACAATTAGGTTTTGATATATATATTAAAAAATTAAAAAAAAGAAGTTATCATATAAGTTTATTACTGTAATTCATCAACACATGGTTAATCAGACAATCTATATTAAGAAAATTATTTTATTAAATGTAGAACAAAAATAAGACTAAATTTATAATGAAGGAATAATGATATTATTATTATACATAAAAGCATAATAGTAATTCTAATACTGTCTATAATTTTTGTTGTATCCTTTGCAATTATCATATGCCTTATAAATTGTTACAAATGATTTTTACTTAGTGCAACAAATTTTTTGTTGGTGTGGTGTTTAGATTGAGAAATATCATTAATTCATCTTTCAATAATTTTTTATAGGAAAATTTATTGAAACAAAGCAGGCTATACAGTACCCATAATATAAATTACTGTCTAATATAAATATTTATCATAGGCAACACTAATAAAGCATTTTCATATAACAAATTTCAATTGAAAAGCTGTATAATAAAAATATACTCCATTTATATTAGTTTGGTAAGTTTGAATATATCCATTTAAGATTAATTCATTAATTTTTACTACTTAAAATTTATTCTTTTATTCATATTTATGTATTGTATTTATAATATAATTAGTTAATATTTTTAATTCACTAGTTTTCACATCAACATGTTGTAATATTTTTGCAAATGTAAATATATCACTTAATGTATATAATGGAACTGTAACATACAATAAATTCCCCTAAATAAACATTTATTTTATTTTTTTTTTTTATATGCTTTAGTATTTAATATATATTTTATATTTATATATTTTAGTTAACATAATTTAATAAAAAAATTACTTATCTATTTTGGATGTTGCTTTTATTTTTCAGCAGCTTATATATGGAGAACATAATTATTTTAATAATGCTATAAGCGTATGCAAAAATACAGTGTGTATATAATTCATAATGCTTAATTGAAATATATTAAATAATTATAATTTAATATGTTCTTAACCTTTATCCTATATTAGTAAAGGGATTAATTATAAGAAAAAATAATCCATAAAAAATGCAGCATATTAATATATTTTTACAATGTTAATAATATTATTCTTAGTAAAAGCTATATTTTTTATACGAATTATTCTTATTTTAATATTAATATATTCTACCTATAAATTATATATATGTAATATGAATATTAAATTAATATCCTTTCTATATTTCATGTTCTATTTAACAAATATATAATGCAAAATAAACACATAATAACTTTATATTTTTGCAGTTGACCTTTTTTTCCCTATATATATATTATAATGATGTAATATTGTAAAAAGATATTGTATACGATGGTAGTGTAAAGAATTTTTATATTAATATATATTATTGTTGTATTCTTTAGTGAATCCGGATTCTATTTGATTAAATTTTATGTCTGAATTTTTAAAATTACAAGTATTGATACGCTATGTATTTTTTAATATTGAGAAATTCATGTAAAATTTATATATTATATAAATATATATCAATTAATTTAATAATAATATATATCATTGCAATGTATACAAATATTTGTAATAAAAAAATATTATGTAAAAACTGTAATTCTTTAAATTATATTATAAATTTATTGAAAATATAGTACTTATTTTTGTAACATTACTTTAAATTTTTTATATATGTTAGAAATAACACATTCTTAGGATGAATAAGAAGAAATAAAAAAATATTTAAAAAATTTTTAATTTTTTCTTTTTAGTACATACATTCTTAAATTGTATATCTTACAAATAAGTTCTAATGATTTAGAAAATATAAAATACGTTTTTTATATATGTATAAGTATATAAATACGCATTTCTAATTATACTATGAATTATAGTACTTTTTTTTAGATTTTGTTTTTATTTATGTCATAAATTTTTAGGAGTTCATTTAATAATTCACAATAAACATGTTAATAATTAATTAAAAATTTGTGTCCTTTTAAAATTTGTAAATTATGTGTAATATTAAAATATTTTATATTTAAAAGATATAAATATTGAGTATTGAATTATATAAAATTATGGACATTTTTAATTTTTTAAAGGACATGTAATTTTATTTACAATTTTTACGAGATAAAATGGGAAATGTTTGACTTCGCGTTTGTATGTATTTTCTTTTTAAATTAAATAGGATCACATTTTATATATATTATAGACCCTGAATAAAGTTCCTAAATATACACTTAATAATACATTATAATGTCTGTTTTAAATAATAACAGTAAAAATACACCTCCTTAGAATCATTGTAGAATATAGTCTAGTAATTTAAAACATATTATATTTCTTAAGTAAATGGTTTAATTATTAATTTATATTAATTTATTCTCAAGCAACTCTATTATTTATTTACTTTAATATTCAAAAAATGATAAATAAAAGATATCATATTTTATATATGAATTTATGTATTCTAACTATGAAAACATAATATGATGCTTTGTTATAAAATTATAAGATTATCCTTAAGAATATAGCATATATTTAATCTGCCTATAATATACTCATTTATAACAATGAAATATTTTTTCACATGCATTTAATTTTAGCATACTATGAAGGAATTACGAATATAAAATGAACTGAAATGTGATTTATTCATTAATTACGAACTAATAAAATAATTATTCTACCTATTAAATTATTAGTACATAAGTAACACGTAAGTATAATATTAATCGTATATATAATTAGTAATGATTCATAATAGTTTATTATACATTTATATGTAGAATAATCCTAACATATAATTTATAATAGGTTTTTTAAGTTTAATACATATATATGTGTGTGAAAATTCTGTTATTGTAATGTTCTTTATATAAATTTATATAATACAAAAACATATTACTTTTATATATATGTGCGTAAGCATGATATAGAATGATGTATGTAATATATATATTAATTTACACAGCATACATCTTTTCTAAGTTATACGCTATATTTTTTAGAATAATTCAATGATATGTATAAAATTTATTTTATTAATATTATATGATTTAATTAAATCTGAAAATAAAAATTATTAATACGCAAATAACACTTATTGAACTGAAAGTACAGAATTTTAAAGATATATCATTGTATAATAAAGTGTAAAATGTTAAAACAATCTTATATAATACAAATTTATTAATTTCTAATTTCGTATTTTTTTTTTCCGCGAGGTAGAAATAATAATTCATGAATAAACTACGCTTTTTATTATAGATATAAAGGTATATTACCCAGTCCTATCTGGTAGTATATGAATTTAAATCTTGTTAAAATTTATGTATTTTACATATCTAAACCAATATATTATTATATAAACGTATTGTTATAAATCAATATTATTTTATATAAAATTAAAGTTAAATGTACAGTATGAATCATCATTTATACTATATCCTCCTATACCTATATATTGTCCCAATTTAAACTTCCTAATAAATACATCGTATTTTTTATTAAGGCACATATCTACACATTCATGGATTGGTAATATATAATATTTTTTTCCGTATCCCTATTTTGATTATTATTCTTATATGTTTTATATACTTTATATTCTGCTTCCTCGTTAAACTGCTCACGCAATCTAATTTTATTTTTAGAACTATTACGAAATATAGATCCTATAGGCGTAAACTATTAAGTAATAAAATTATATATACGAATTTATACATTATATACATAGTGTTTTACTGTTGTATTATTAATTTATTTTTAATTATTTATTTAGAATTTCCGTATAAAAGTGTTAACAAGTTTTTATTACTTCATTAAAAAAAAAAGCAAGAAAGATAGTTCCTAAAACTGTTACAATTATTGGAAGAGCAATTTTATTTAATAATGAAACGCAAAAACACAATTTTTCAGCTTTTAACATTGATGTATAGTAAATATTTTCATAAGGAGGCCCATTTTTGCAATAAATATTATCCGGATTGGCAGACGTTTGTGAATTTTGGTTAAATAAATAATGCTTTTCACATAAGTCAAATAATATACTTAGTTTAGCGCAGTTTTCTTTAATAGAAGTATTATCATTTTCCTGCTGGCTTTGCGTATCAACATTTTCATTATAACACACAAATTCCTCTGGCATTTGCTGATAAAGTCTATCATCTTTTGCATTAGGCTCGTTATGAGTTGCTCCTTGAGAATAGTATGAATACTTTCTTTTACATGTATTTCCAGGGTAATATCGTTCTAGCTCTTCCCATAATGGTTCAATATGTATATCCCACCAACGTGTATTATAATAACACATTCTAAAGTTAGTGTACAAATTTTTTTGTTGATCTAACCATCTATTCAAAACACCACAAGCAGCATTATTATTATTTGAATTCTCTACAAAATATTCCTTGGCAATTACATAATTGTGATATAAATATAAAGCAACATATTTTAAAATTGGATCATGAAATTTTCTTATACGTTCTAAATAATCTTTATGTTTTATGTGAAGTACACTGGGATATGAATTAAATTCTTTGTAAAAGTAGGTATGACATAATTTTTTCTGAATATTAAAAAGATAAATGAAAAAAATTAAAGATATATTATTACACAAGGGAGGTAAAATGATTATACATTTAAAATATAATTATTATATTCATATATTATAGAATTATATATGCAATTCATTTTATAATAAATACAAAATTACTTTCGCATAACGTTCATCGCATTTCTCATTATATTCCTTCATTTTAAAAAAATCGTAAGGAAAATAAATGTATAAATTAATAAATATCTAATACCTATAAATCCATTAGTATATATATAATTTATATAAAGGATACTTAGTAAGAAAAATATAATGTTTATATATTAGAATTCATGATCCCTTTAATAAAATAATTCCAGAATTATAATCATAATTGTATATGCAAATTCTCTAAATGAATATACCATATCTATATAAATTAATATTTATAAATAAAATTACTTAAATAAATATAAAAATTGACAATAATTTTGTTTAATTTTTTATTATGAATAGTATTTTTTTCTCATATACATGATTTCATAGAATGTACATTATTATTTATATAAATATTATATTAATCTATAATACATAAATATAATTTTCGTTACCTCTATTTAAATAAAATTTCAATAAAATTTTTATGAATACAGTATATTATATGATAGAAAATTTTTTTTCAATTGTATTTTTGAATGATTTAATATAAAACTATATAATAATAGCTAATTTATAACATCATGGATATAAATTGAATTACGCATTGGAATTCATAATATAAAAAAAATTAATATTTTCATGAACTCATTTTTGTTTACATATTCTATGATATATTAAAGGAAATATATATGCTAAAATGGTAGTTATATATATTTTTATTATGCTTGTATTATTAAACCTAACGCAGTGCAATAATAAGCAGGGTAACGTAATTCAAAATACAGGAATATGAAGATAAAAAGGAATATAGTTATTCAGGATTAATATTATTTAAGAAAAATAAAAAAATTAAATATATAAATAATTATTTTAATATATTCTCTAAGTATGAAGAATTTTTTTATATTTTATATTTAAAAATTAAATCTCTTAAATTATTATATATTCTATTACATAATATATGAAAAATATATTACGTATATGTTTTTCCAATATTATATAACACATTATATCGTGATATATATTTTGTATGAATTTTTTATTGAAAATATAATTAAATATATATAAAATGGCAAAATTAGGGGATTTGTGCCTCGAGAGATATCAAAGTGTAATTTATACTTGATAATATCTAACAATAATTTGTATCATAATAAGAATATAATATATTGTTTTTTAATTCAGTGTAGTATTGCATTTATTATATATATAAACTCGTATATTATACATTATTATTTATTTTTATATACAGCAAAAAGAATGTTATGCTTATTTTAATTGGATCTTTAATGATATTCGCTACTACTACTATTTTAATCAATATAAGACATCTAATTTCAGGAATAAAATTGATGCAATTCATGATCCTATTTTAAGACATATTGCTATACACCTGATAGCAAATTACGATGAAGCTCAAAAATATTTTAGTGAAAATGGAAAATGGCAAAATAATTATGCTTGTGAATCGTTAAATAAATGGCTCGATAATAAAAAGAGTTATTTCACGCATGCACTTCATTGTAAAGGAAATGTTCATTTGTGGGATAAAACGATTGAACCATTATGGAATGAACTGGAATCTCATTATAAAAATAATGGAAAGAGTGTAAACAATATAGAGAGTTTAAATAAATGGTGTGAAAGATATAATTTATTCAGAGGACATCTTGAGCTACCAAATGTATTGAATCCTATATGTTATAAGCATGTTCCTAAAGATTATAAATGTGTTCGACCATTTCCACCAACTAAATGTTCATTATTCAATACATGCAAAACAGTAAAAACATATTATGAAAAATGTAAATCTAATGGAGATGTAGGAAATGTTTCTTATTTACGTTCCTACTTTGCCCAACCTATTGCTAATGGAAATTCATTCTTTGAGGGAATCCAGGATGTTACATTCTCACGTCAAGTGCAAAATCATTGCTGTTCTTCGTTAGAGTATGCTGTTCCAATTTCTGTATGTCTTTCCTTTTTTGGAACACTCCTAATTCTATTTTTATTTAAGAAAGTATGTAAGCGTTTCCATATATTTATATGTTTCTTTTAATTTATTAAACCAAATAAATCTTATTTAGTCTTATGATACTAAAAGTTTCATAAAATATAAAAAAAATTACATATAAATATTTGTTTAATAGTATACACCTCTTGGAACTAAATTTTCATATAGAGGCATAAATAAAAAAAGGCTCAGAGATAATTTCAACGAAGAGCTAGAATACGAAGAAAATGCAAGATCTATGATTGAAAATACACATAGCGCACCTAGAATAAATAATATATATTACCAATCTGTGAGGAACTAATTTTCTTACATATTAATGTAATATTGTTACATAAAATAGTTTATATAATAAAAATAGATTATATTTGTAAATATCTTCATTAATGATACATTCATCGTATATTCGAAATATATTATTTTTGTTGATGCTATGTGTTTCACAAAATACTATATAGATAATATTTATGTATGAATAATAAAACAAGTTTAATAAATAAATTTATAATGCAATATATAGGACAATAACTAGAATTGATGATGTTTTTATAGGGTTTAGATTTAAAGCTTTATCATAATTATATAATTTTTGGAATATATATATATTTACAAATATAATTATGCTAAAGAGTATACTGTTAATTTTGGAAAGAAATAAATTTACTTTTAAAAAATATTCAACATTATTATATACATACAAATATAGAATGCTTGAAAATTGCAAGCATCCAAAATACTAAAGACGTCCATAAAATAAAAGAAGTATTAATTGATATAACGAATAAGAACACAAAAGCAAAAACTAAGTTATCGAAAGTTACTAAGGCCTTTGATTGAATTAAAACATAAAAAATTAGATGAATACATTATTTGCATCATTCTCCAAGGAGCATGTAAATAATTATAACTCTGCAAAATATTTTATGGATGTTTCGGATAATATAGTTAAGATCTTAGAATATCAATTAAACAGAATATCAAGTTTAAAAAATAATTCTTAAAATAGAATTAATAAATTAGAAAAAAAAGTATATAATATGTTAATTATAACTGTTATTGACAATTCATCTGATGGTCAATATAAATTGCTAGGTGATATAGAATAAAAAAAAAGGAAATTATATAGAAAAGGAGTTAAAGAATTATCTAATGAATAAAATCATTCGGATTAGATGGACTTAAATTGTGGTAACAATAGTACTAAGTATTACAATGGATATCATTATAAACAAGGAGTGGAAAGAACAAGGGTTTTATATGCAGTAAAAACTATTTTGGGGTTATCTGTTTGTTATGGTATTGCATTAGTTGTATTTAATTGAAATGATGAGGAAAAGATAGTTGATGATTCTCTAGATGAAGTATTTGATGGTAGTGGTGCATTTCATGGGGACTGTAAGAAAAAAATTATAGATGTTTGTTTTGATGAGGATTAGGATTCTTAATAAATGCATACATACTTAAACATATACAAATAGAAATAAATCATAAAAATTACATAAAATATGAATATGATCAGTAACTATTTTGTATAAAGCACAATAAATAAAAATATACACCAATGAAATATATTTTCCACATAAAGAGTATACGCAAAATTCTTATTTCATAAACGCGCAATAATAATTATAATATATAAGGGTATATTAAATTTATTACCATTTATGATTAATTTTATCATAATATAATGGATACTCTGTGTTCATATATGTATGTAGTATATATTGAACATACGTTTTAAAAAAACAAGCGAAAATGATTAATGTAAATAAGAAAGTGTTAAAAAAGAAAAATTCTTTTTATAAATAACAAAATATCCTTAATCTGAACCTCAAAACTATATTTCTTTTCAAAAGCCATGTTTTTTATTATAAATCCTATAGTAAGATACCATTTAGCTAATCACTTACAATATATATTCCATCGTTTATTCGTTATATATTTTATCGTGTAACTGGAGTAACTAATAAATATAATATATAATTAAGTGATGTACGTATTCTCATAATATTATCCCTTACATATTTAAAGAAAATTGTTATTTATGAAATGTTGTCACACTTTAATATGTTATGACTTGTTAAATTAAATCAATATCCGTATATATAAAAAACAATCTTACTAGTATATAGATATATATAATTATGTATGTAAAACTTTATTGTACAATACAACAAATATATCAATTTGTTCCATGCTTCTAAACTCCTGAATATAGACATTCATATGAATATTATGGATTATGTTTAATTTATTAATCCTTTTCTAACCTATAATACAGATCAGATAATTAATATTTCTAGATTATTTTACATAATATATATACATGGATTTTTTTTTGGCTATGATTTAATTTTATTAATCATTCAACTAAGCTATAATACATTAAAAATTATTTTATACAATACGTACTATTGGGAATTTTCAATGAGTTTTCCATGTTGTTACAAGAGGAGATTAACAGAAATAAGGAATATAGAAGTTTAAAGATCTTAAGGAATTAATAACAGAAGACGGAATATATATATTTGAACGCAAATTTTGTTTTCGACTTAATTAGGCCATAAAAGGAAAACTTGTAATATTCATTATTTTGTATTTATTTCTATTTTTATTACACTATTTTGTTAGTAAACAAATCATATAAAAAAAATATATATAAATAATTTAACTTATTGGGAAAAATACGTTAAAATTTTTTTTTCTTAGCAATTCTCAACTTGTAAATATTTATAAAGAAAAACACAATTGTGCTCACAGAGCATTAAGAAACATAAAATAATTTTTGCAATTTAAAATTAATATAAGAAAAAAAACAATGTTTTCATAAATGTAGAACCATATTTCTATTTGTTTATAGATTTTATAATAAAAGCATAAAATGTATGCAACATATGAACAGTTATAAACAATATTCTATATTCTTATATATTATTTTTTTTCATGTATTACTAATTGTTACATTTTCTAAACAATTTGTACATAAGTTTTTAATATGTCATTTCTAATTTACCTTTTTTCAGAGTTGTTATAATTGCATTTGAAAAAAGTTAAAGTAGAATACGTTCATATGTAGACATATTTTTTCCAATATTTAATTATATTTTTTTTCTATTGCTATACACAAGATAAAATATATTCATCACATATAAGATTTTCTTGTAATAAAATATTGTATTATATTGAATTAATATGTACATTTATGCGCCATCAATTGTTGGATATATAAAACCATTAACAATAGAAAAAAAAATTTTAATAAGTTTATAAAAAAATACAAGAATTTTAAGAAAATTACAAAATTCATGCATAGCTATATCTACAAATGGTTTTGTTATATAGGTTAAAAGTTGCTGTAACTAATGAGGATAATATTCATCTTATGTATAATTAAGTTAAATTTATTATAACTATAATACCGTTTAATAAAAACATGCAAAAATATATACAATATTTCACATATAAATGTTCGTGCTAATTAAACTCTATGTATTTTTAATTATAGAATAATTATAAGTAATATTTAAAAATAATATTTTATTGTATATACATAAGTTCTCATAAATATGAATATATTTGTAAAATAACATAGTTATGCTTTTCACGAAGTAATAACTCTATATATAAAAATTTTTTTTTTGTAAATTTTTAACGATAAATATATATTTTTTCTAACAAGAAAAATAAAGTATATAAAATGTTTTATGAATTCTGTCAATACCAAAAGAAAATAACATGTAATATACAAAATTCACATGTATGTCAATAATCAAAATGTGATGAAATATATAAATAAAAATAACATGTAAATTATTTCATGTAAAGTGTTAAAATATTTTTATTGATACAAATAATAAATATATAGTACTTAAATATAATATGGAAATGGAGAACCAATGAATTCCAAAAAAGAATATTTAAGATGCCTATTAAATTTATATTGCCAAAAAAATAATGATACCTATTTAATTAAAGTATTGAAATATATCCATATTCATATTAGTTATACAAATAAAACCCAAATTATAACATTTTGTATAAAATAAAAAGTACTATGACATATAATTTAATTAATAGTGTCTATGACTTTTTGCTTTATATATATTATGAATAGAGGATATATATAATAGCTGTGATATGCACTATAATATAATATATATTATTAACAAATACATAATTTCATATTAATATTATAAATAACATGGAATATATAAATTTATATAATATCTGCTATAAAAAATATTTAACCATATTGCATAAAAGATAGTAAGAAAGAAATCACATAACATGATGTTTTACAATAAGAGAAAAAAGTTTAAACACAAGTTTCTAATCCCAAAAAGCACTATATATACGCATATGAATTTTATTAATTCATTAAAAATATATTAATTAACACATATTTAAATGTGCGCCTCTTTTATTTTTTTTGCATATCACGTTTTGACATTTGTTAATTATGCGTCGCATTCTAGGGGTGCGTTTTTCATACAATATTAAATACCGTTTATATTAAAATATCACATTTCTTCTTAATATAATTATTTTAGTTTTTTTATAAGTATGTATATATTAACTTTTCTTATGAATTCGTAGATTGATGATCTTAACAGGTTACCTACAAAATCGAAATATTATTATTTTGATAATGCAGTAAGGAATTGTGATAAATCTGAATTAATATCTAATATAAAGCGTGTTACAAATGTTTATCCGAATCTTCATAAAGTTTATGACAAAATAGAAAGAATCTTATGTTATGTATACAATGAAAATAAAGTAAACAAATTTAATAAAGATGACTGTGATTACCTGTACTTTTAGTTAGGTGATGTAGCATATAATAGTTTTAAAAACAATAATTTCTTTTACGCATTTATGAATACACTCAAATTTACACTAGAAAATGTTCTAGAACTGAGAAAATGTAATTATAATAATAATGAAAAATATAATATAGAAGAACAAAATTTTATGGATATGAAGACATTATTTGATTATTCAAAAGATTATGATCAAATACAAAAAGATTTAAAGAATCATGAATTGTTCTGTAATCATGAATATAAGGCTCATCTTGATAAATATGCCTTAGTATATGAAAAGTTAATGAAGAAGTGCCCAAGAACTGGTATACGGCATTCATTTTGCAGTGGTTTTAATGAGTTTTTTATTAGGAATGACAGGTTTGAAATATCTACATTGTCATGTAGTGAAGTTCAAGATGACGCTACTACTGCAAAACTAGAAGAGGAACAACTAAATTCCATAAAACATAATATGAAACAAGAGGATTATTTGCTTCCAATTAGACAAAATTTAGAATATATAATTTCAAATAATCCTTTAGATACTTCAAGGAGCACAGTCATTGCTCCTTTATTTGTAGGGATTACAGTTTTATCTATTATTCTTTACAAAGTAATTATTAATGTGAATAAAAAATAAATATGTTCTAGATTAAATTATATAAATTTTTAAATATGTATGGAAATATTATACATAAAATGTGTTTTGCTTATATCATATTTTCATTAGTTCACTCCACTTGGGTATTGGTTAAAAAAGTCCTTACTAGGAAAATATAAAGGGTAACGTAATATTATAAATGATAGAAATATAATAGAAGATTATTTGATTCCACAAGATTTAGATTCACCGAGAAGTTTTAATATAAGGTACAGTAATATATATTAGTTCTCATTAGGGCATACAAAGGAATATTTTTGTTACATATATCTGTAACATGATAAGTATTGCTGTACAGAATTATCCTTCTAAGACAGGGTAAATATATATTTTTTTTTTTTTTTTTTTTTGTAATACGATAATAAATTTGGAATCAATATATTTATATATAAATAAGTGTTGTTTTAAAAACTACAATATTTTTTTTCCATAAATACGCTTAATCATATAGATGTAATTACACAAAGGATAATTCCAAAATTCATACTGGTTTTGTATTAGATTTATTTTTCAATGAGTGGGTTTATTATTATGTCTTATTATTTATTAATAATATTTTAATGTCCAATTTTTTTGGAATATAAATAGCTTGTTATCTTTATTATTGTACTTATTATTATGTAGTAAATTTGAATATCAGGAATTTATATTATATGATAAAAATCTATGAATATATATTATATTCGCTAATTTTTTATATGAATATTTACTATATAATTGTGATATTACAAGAACAATATGGAAAAAGTGTGAGTTCAAACATTTGTTATAAATTTGATGAATATAATGATAAAAGCGTCGTTATATACACTTATTATAAATTATAGAAAAATTATGATCAATTTTTTATTACTTTTTTTTCAGTGTTTATATATTTATTAATGATATTTTTTGTGTTTTCAAAGAATTCTATTCATGTTTTTTTATAAGCAAGAAAATATAAATTGTATATAAAGGTTTTTGTAATTATTTGTAATAATATTTTTAATTAATATAATTATTATTCATACAGTTATTTATATTATGGATAATTAAGAACATATTTTTTTTCATAATATTAATTTCATTAATGTCATTAAAGTTGTTTATAATAAATTTGATATTAATACATAGATGATAGTTATGTAACATTGAATGTTCTATATTATTTTTCTGTGCTTTATGATATCTGATTGTATAATTCGGCATTCCTGATAGTGAATATTTTTGCGTATTCTTACTTATGAAATATAATTCATAGTTTTTACTGTGTGAATGTGTGTGTATATATTTATTAAAATGTGGATTGTTAAACATTTAATTTCATATATTTATAAATTAAAATAATATCCTAAACTTCGTTGGTGTTATGTATTTATTAATATACATTCTATTATTAAATTTAACTGAAGAGGAATAAAGGCGTTGTTCTATTATTATTCTTATTGTAAAATCCGTGAAAATAATATAAAATTATTTTTATACATTTATTTTTTATTATTTATGGATATTATTGTTCATGTTTAATTGTTTTCTGTTATTAATTCTGTAATATTAAAAATGTATAAATGTGAAAATCACGTCTATACTAAAAAAATTTATACCTATATGATATATTTGGGAAAGGAACAAAATGTGAATTCTATATTAAAAGATTTTCAGTTTACAAAAGCTGAATTAGTTGTAAATTAATGAAAATAACATATGATAAATAATACATATATACAAATTGCACTTATAAATATATAAATATTTTTGTTCCTTGTATTGCAAATGTTTTGAGAAATATACATTCTATAATTAAATAAAAAATTATATTATGGGAATTATGATAACGTTTAATATATATTAAATATGGGTGAAATGTAGGATTATATTAATGTAAAAGACGTATTAATTAAAATATTTTTTATAGTTGCAATATTTTTCAACCTTCTCATAAATGTGGAAATAGGAAAAAATTAAACATTTTATATCACAAAATATTTATTAGATGGTTATATAATTATAACTGTCAAGGGAGTATTAAATTAATATTATTGTATATGTCGAACTAAAAATTATGAATTTTTTATATTAATCATTTCTATCCTTATCTATTATTGCATTAAATGTATTCTAATATCAATGTTTACTTTTCTAAAAAGAAAATGCATGCAGAATTAAAAAAATAAGTTTACATTAAATAATATTCATTATAAATATAAGTAAAAATTGATAACTTACTATTGTCCTTACTAAAATATTGATATATTATATGAATATATATTTATAAAAATTTTTTTATAAGTGACTAATATTTTACTTTATATCATAATTATATATATTGTCCCATAAAACCAACATTTATTACAGTTCGAGTTTTTATTTCTAATAATGATTATTAATTTTATTTTATATTAATGTTATACGTTGTATAATTAAAATTATTCTAAAAAGGATGCAAATCATATATAATTCACTTAAATTATAATAATAAACAATTGAATAAACATATATATGACTACTGTTGTTGTTTATTAAATATATAGAAATTATATTTTATTACTTTTATTATTTACTTAAATTATTAATATATTTACAATTTTCTATAATTTTTATAGGGTGGATAATGTTTTTTAGCTTTACATAGGCATTACATAGTATATTATTAATATATACATGTAAATGATATTTATTAATGTATATATTAATGTGATTTTTTAAAAAAATTTTAATTTAAAGGAATATATGTATATACTTGAGGCCTGTGCTTTATAAATCTTATTACTATGAGTATCTAAAAAAGTTGTATATCATTTTTTCCATATTAACAGAAACAATGGCAACATTAAATTTGACAAATTATTAGATTTAATTATCTGAATATAAAATATGCATATATAATATATTTCTTCTTTATATTTTAAAATAATAAGGGAGAAACAAAATTGAGTATCCATTTTGTATTAACTACTATATTAAAGGGATGTAATAAATGTTTATATTCTTTCTTGTAAAATGAATGTAAAATTAATTCATTAATTTAATGAACATTTTTAAACAAAATTAATATTTTTGATAAAGGTAATATGTTTATAATTTTTAAAGTAAGTTTATCTTGTTTGTCCATGCCTAACGATTATTTGTTTACCGATCGAATACAACGGAAAGATATACATGTGCTTTCATTAAAATTAAAAATCCAAAAAAAAAATGTTATATTATTAATTGATTTTTTTATATTAAAAAAGGTAACTTATTAAATAAAATTAAAATTCTTATTAATTTAATTTTTATAAGCATCATCATACAGCGAAAATAGCTATGGTATTTTAACATTCATTTTTCAAGTTATTTTTTACATAACCTTCACTTTAATGAAATTAATTATAAGGAATTATTTAAATAATACTATTAATTACGTTTTATATCTCATAATATTATATATTATGAAACATTTTGATGAAGGATGTGATACCTTAAATATATTTGTAAAGAATTGGATTCAGGAGGTTCCAAATGGTGCTCTGCTAATTCATGATTATCATAGTCCTTTGTAACATTCGAAAATTCCCATTTTTTTTAAAAAATTTTTATAACATTACACTAGCTGGAGTAAACTAATAAATAAATTATTATGTGGATATTTATTATAATTTTATTTTTTCATTGTATTTATTATTATAGTATGAACTAAGAAAATGCACACAATATTTACATTAATTTTCCTTTTTCTATTTACATTATATAAAATAGGTAGCATAATTTATATACTAATAAAATGAATGAGAATTTTGTTCATATTTTCAAATGATGTTTGCTCAGTGCCAATAAATTGTAGTAGTACACAATTTGTTTAGAAGGTAACAAGGCAATAACGTGTTAAGACATGTATAAATTCTTAATTTATATAAAATTTATTGGACTCCAATTTTGACTTTCTCTGTCATCGTGAGTAACATTTTATGCGAGTTACAGTATTTTTTTTTATATTCGGAAAAGCTTGTGTTTTTTATTGAATTATGATAATGTGTTAATATCTTGGAAATATGTTTCCAGTCCATCTAAACAAAAGCTATTTGTACTTATAAAAAATTAATTAATATATTTTTTGTCCGAATAATAATCATAGATTTTTTTCATATTTATAAAATCTTTGGTTTCTGCAGAACGAAAAGGATTATTACATCTAGGAAATGTTCCGATTTTAGATAGTACCAATTAGAAGGCATAGAAAATTGAATTGAAGTAAAGAAATTCGTTTTTTTTGTTAAGTACAAAATAGCCTAACCAATAATAAAAATTATCATACATCTATTTTTTCAAATTTCTGAATGTCATGAGTTCACGCAAGTAACATGGCTTTTAAAAGTTTGCCTAGTTAAGGCTCAATAGCATTATATTTTTTTAATGATGCATGTAAATTTTCCTGCTATTAATAAAATCATGTTTTTTCTGATGCACTCAATAATTTATAAAAAGAACTAGAAGAAAGTGTTCAATAAAAATTTTCCAACGAACTATAATGTAATAGTCGATTACATTATAGTTGCATATATAAATGAATAAGTATTTATTTCATATATTTATATCTAAGAAAAATTGTAAATATATAATAGGCATTATTTTATGAGGAATAAAATATAAATCATCATCATCCTTATATTTTGCATAATAATATATTTTACAAAAAAAAAAAAATTTAATGTGTTTATTAATTCAGAAAAAAAATATATAAATTTATATGAAACTACAATTTAATAACTAAATATTTAAATGAATTTATTTAAATATGTTTGAATGGCATAATATTTATGTTTTTGAATTAAGCGTTAATATATTATTATTAATATATTGTAAATATATATTTCCTATTCTTATATATATTGTAAAATGTAAATAAAATTATTTATTTTAAGGTAAAAATTAATTATTTTAATTTCACTATAGAATAAATATACATAGAAAGAATATAATTTATATTATTTTTAACTCTTAATAGCATAAATACAATTATTATTGTTTTTATATTATTGCGATATACTGTATACATATATTATGTTTAAATATATACACACATTATATAAATAAATATATCATGCAGGAAAAAAAATTTCATATTTTTTGCGCAAAAATTTTGTTTTGATACATTTACGATTAATTTACATTATATATAATTTATTTATATATAATTCTAAGATAAGTATTACAAATATTTTGTAATGTAATATATTTATGTTTAGGTCATGAGAAATTTCATAAAAAGTTATAATTGTCTGTAATGCGAATAATTAAAATCATAAATATTTGAAAGTACAACAAATGAATTAAGGTATCATGGTCTAGAGATAGAGATTAGAATTCAAGTATTATTCCAGTATTTATGGATTAAATTTATATATATTTTTTTCTTTGTTATATGTATAATTTTTATATATTTATATTAAAAAATTAATTAAGTTATATAGGAAAATAAAAGAAATTTTTTATTACTGATAATAAATGCATACAATTTTTTTAATTTTAAGACATTTTTAAAATGGAAATTTAATGTTCTATCATTTTTTCTTATTATATACTTTTTTTATATATTTTTAAAGCTTTTACACTAATAAACAATATTACATATATTATAATTGTGTGTAAAAACAATGTAACATGAAAAGGACATAAGCTTATTTTTTTTTTTATATAAGAGGATTTTATGTGTATTGTATATTCAGATTATAAAATTAATATTATATGTATACATTTTCAAATGATGCATTACGATTATTTATTTATCTACTAAATTTAATAATTTTTTATAATGTATTATTTTTTTTTCTAATTTTTAGTATTCTTTAAATTATTGTCAATAAAAGATACTAGGATATTATGAAAAACGCATACATGATATTAATAAACATAAGAAATGCATTACATACATATTAAACTTTGTTGATGTAATGTTATTGTGAAAATATGAGTTTTGCAAAATATATAGAAATTCAGCTAGTTTAATTAATGCACTAATTTTAATAGATACAATAAAAACTATTAAAATATATATTTTCATTGCGATTATGGAATTATATGAATATTTATGATTTTACATTTATATGTTAATTTGCTTTCTTTAAATATATGTGGATTCTTTTTTCTTTTTTTTCAGGTAATTCATTAGAATGATGTATAAAATATCACTGATGCATAATAAATATTTTTTGTAAAAAAATTTATTTAGATTTTTTTTTTAATAATATAAAACTAGATAAATTATATTGTTATAAAAAAAATGAATAATATTTTGATTTACAATAGATTTAATTCTTTTTATATTGTAAATATACTTAAAATATAACTTAATGAAGATACATAATTTTTTTTCAGTGGGAAAATATTGATATAGCATATTACATTAAAACAAAAATAATCACAAGCAGATTTCTAATATAAAAAATATTGTGTGTACTTTATATTTCTTTTTAAATTTAATCGTTCTACAAAATGTTGAGCATATTAATCACATATTTGTTTTTATTGAAATACACAATTTTTTATACACTTATTGGAAAATTAAGGAATAAACAAAATAAAGCATTATATTATTTTTATAATATGCGGAAAAATTATATTCCTTAAATTTCCAATACGTTCTTGGAATTATTAATTATAATTTATATATTTCTTATAATAGAATATATATTTATGTTTTATATACAATCATATAATCTTTTTTAAAATAAAAGTATACTATTCATGACATATGTTTCATATAAAATAATTTAAAAATTTAAAAATATTACACATATTATTTTTATAATAACCACTGTTTTTGTAAGGAATTATTATCTAACTACAGCTTCAATGGGTACACGTATAAGCATATATATTGTAAGAAAATCATGAAGCTTAGGATTTGGTACATAAGAAAATTCTAAAAATATTTATTATTATATATAGAAAATAAAATATTAAAAAAAATGTCATTCAGTGCTCAAATATTTATGCGAAACGGAAACATTTTTCTTATTTAAATAAGATAATTAAAATAACCTAATTATATACAAACAATGTTAACAATAACTGTTTTGAATATTTAGATAATTCATATGAAAATTAATATTTGATATTAATGAAATATTTAATAATAAAGCGAAAAATTTTAAATTCAATAACTATAAAACATTGTGCATTTCAAATATTTTTCGTCGTATTCTCATATTTTTTATATATAGCATGTTTGCATTTATTATATGGAAAAATATATGTACCTTATAATATTTATTACAATGTTTATACTCGCACTCGGGCTTTTAGAAAATTAATATACACATTATAATAATTCTTCATAATAATTAAATCAAAAAAAAAAAAATAGTAATAAATCAAATATATACAATGAATCAAAAAAATGTAACAAACATCCTATATGTAAAAATACATTACCTCTTAAAGTAATAAAATTCCATGTGGTAAAATTTCATAAATTAATATAATAAATGTGTAAGAATTTAAAATTAATAATACCAGAACATATCTAGAGAATGATTAAAAACAAATAACTCAAAATGAATAATAAATATGCATGCATAATAAATGAAAAATTAAGGCGTTAATATTACTATTTTATATAATATCATAATATAAATAGAAATTAAAAGAATATACTATATTCATTAAAAATGCAAAATATGAATTTACATTTGCAGAACTATATACATGTATATTTTATTAATTAAATCCTACTCATTCTTGTAAACTACTGTATATTAAAAGGAATTATGTATGACATTTATCCATCCTGTTTATATTCATTCATTATTGAAAAAATAAATTTCATTTAGAATGTTGTTAACATATTTATTTTGAAATTTTAACATTCTACCTTTAGAAATTAATATATACTTTTTTTTTATAAATGATTTTATATATTTATTTGAATATATTAAAGGAAAATTTTCTCATATTATTAGTTTAATACTATTTTGGTGATATAAAACAAATTTTTCCTCTTCTTTTTTACATTATGTTTAAATTAAACTGTACGATATATAATATTGTGTCCACTCTTCTTAGGAGTAGTACTCACACTTTTGTAAGACTGTAACATATTATAATATTCACCTCTATTATTCCATCTATTTTTTTCCCTTCTTAATACTCGTCTAAAGCATGAGTTATATGGGGTAAACTAATTCATAAAAAATAAGATTTTATAAAAGTACATCATATTAAGAATTTTTTTTATGTTACGAAGGAAAACATTTTAGTAGAAGAAATATATATATATAATATAATAATTAACCTTATATAAAATAAATAAGGATATAAGTATTACTAATATGACAAGAATTGTAGATACAATAGGTACTGTTATATTATTCTTTTGGAATGAACGTAACATTTTTGGTGCTCCATTATTACAATTCTGTGTTTTCATTAATTGACCATACTGTTCTTTAATATTGTTTAATGCATCACAAAAATTGTTATCACTGTTTGAATTGCATATATCCTCGTACTTTCTATATATATCATAACACTCCTTGGCACATTTGCATTTATCTACTTTACATGATTCACTGTCTTCACTAATGGATTTAATCTTACTATTCATATCATGTATATCTTTCAGTTTTTCTAATAAATCGCTCGTTATATTTGTCTTGTAATATTCGCAAATAGATTTATCGTATTTCGCATAAGCCTCCAGGAATCCTTCGAATAGTTTTTTTATTTTGTCATATTCGTTTATTCCTTTATAAAGTACATAAAATATCCAAAAATACAAATATAAACAACGTATATTTCTTAGACTTTCAATATTGTCTACTCCCTGAACTTCTAAAAAAGAAATAGCTTTAGGACAATTTTCAGAAAAATAACTTATTTCAAGAAATTTACTATCCACTTGTTTACAGTATGAATCCATTAACGAAGTGCAATTTTCATCACAAACTTCCAATTTCTGTTTATACTCCACAAATGAATTTACATGTGTATACTAAAAAAAAATAAAAAATATGGATGATACTATAAGAACACATGGAACATATATTCGAAAATTGTATATTTAATTAAGAAAAAAAGCTAAATTTGAATTCCTAAATAAATATAATTTTGTTATATTATGTTATGTACGAACAATTTTATTATTTTCCATAGAAGACAAAATATTTAGGAAATAGCATATTAAATAAAATAAATTATAATCATTGTAAATGAATATAACAAATATAATAAATACATTTATTTACAGGATTTAATGTATTTTTTTCTATTAAAAACATAATTTATATACATATTTCTAGCAATTATATACGTTAATTGCATAATTATTAGGAAACAAATTAACAAAACTGGTATAAAGGGTTTAAAGGAAATTCATAAAATTAGAAATATATTGAAATATCTAATCAAAATATTTTTATAATATAGTAATATTATATATTAATATATAATTTTATATATTTGTTATAATAACTTATGTTGTAATAATATATGTGTTTTTTATTTTACATTGTATAATACTACTATCTATAAATATACATTTTAAACTTTTTTAAAATATAATATATGTACAAATATTATTTTTTATTAGTGTTATTTAATTATTTATATATGTACTCAATTCTTTATAAATTAGGACACTTCATTACCACATGGTTTGCATAGTTTTATATATTAATTCGCGATATTTTCTTTTTATACAATAAATTTAAGTTTTATTTTTTTTATTTAAAACATACATAATTGCATGCTACATTATGATAAAATATATTTTTAAAGAATAATTATGTTTATGTATAAATAATACATTTTATTAATTCATGGATTTTATAAAAATATAAATGCTAAGAAGAACTTATATTATATAATTTTGTTTCAATCATAAAGAATATATTGTTTTTATAGTAATTCCTTTTAGTTTACACAACTGATAAAATAAATAATATAATTACTCTTCGTTAATCATGGTTTATTATATTATTGTGTTAAATATTTTATGTTATATATATAAAGTAATGTAATTATATGCTTTTTATAATTAAAATAATGAATAAAAGACTTATGCTTATTAGGATTGTAAAATATTAACATTTTTTTTAAATTAAATCATATTAAAATGCTCAATTATACGAAGTACTTTATATTATCACATAATTCTTATTCAAATATTTTGTGAAAAAATATAATAAATAATGTAGAAATTATTACGAATTATCATTTAAAAATTTTTAGGTTATATATTTATATACCATAAATTTAAGATAAAATATATAATTTAGATCATATATTATAGTAATTTTAAAAAAAATATTAATTATGTAAATCAATCATCAGTTTATAAAATTTCTTATAAGAATTTCATTTTGTTATTCAACGCATCATATTATTTATTCTAACAGAAATAGATATTCTCCGATTTGCAATACTCAGGCATATAATTTTAATTCTCTATGTGTTTTGAACAAAAAAGATTAAAAAAATTTAACAAAAGTATAAGGGTATACATACTCCTTTTAACAAAACTGAGTCAAATAAATATATTTATTGTAATATAAAAATTGTCATTTATTAAACAATACGATTAAAATAATTATGAATTGATAATATTTAATGACAAAAAAACAAATTATTATATATACAGAATCATGCATGAAAATAATATAATATTTCTAATGGAAAAATTAAAATAAAATATGTATACAGCAAAATATGTCTACAAATATAATAATTTTTTTCTGTAAAGAAACACTAATTCATATTAAATACATATATACATATATATATATCTACAATAAAGATTATATTTTCCCATAACATTAAATATGCTACATAATTTATACATGACAATTGTCACATATACACAAATGCGCATAAAAAATTTTATTTTGAATTAATAAACATATAAATATATTTATATATTGGAACCATATCTATTGAACACAAATGTTTAGAAAACATGAAAACATTAAACTTACTTAAATCCAGTGGATTAATTACTGAAAAAAACTCAATTACCATATCCCTAAAACCAAGGATGTTAGGAATAAGAATAAACATAAAAATTTAAATCATATCGATAATTCTGAACTCTAAATTTATGTGTCAATGCAATGTTATATTCTTCATTATTACAATGCCTATTTTTAGTCACAATCATATGGAATTTACTAATATATATATTTATGGATTTTATTAAATAATTATATAATTTATATATTAACTTATTAAATATTGTGTCATATAAAATTAGTAATTTTTAATGTATAAACAAATCTTTATTTTTTATTTGTACGTTTATGCAAAATTAATCTGTGCAATATAACATATTATATCTATTATTACATGCCATAATGCTCAATTGTTCAGATTCTTCCAACATATTTCTTTCTTCATCTGTGTTATGTATCTTATTTAATTTATATTTTATTTGATAAAGGAAGCGCGAATACAATGGATAAAACTAGTATATTTAAAAGAAATTATGTATAACTGTATATAAAACTTTTAGAAACAAAATTATTTTATTTTGGTTAATTTAGAAAAATTATGATATAATAGATCTATAATTTTAAACAATAAAATAATTAACCTTATAAGCAATAAAGAACAATAGAGTTATTATTAATGCCACAAGAATTGGAATTATAATAGCTGATCGAATATCATTTCTATAGGGTTGTGTTATTTCTTGTGTTTTTGGATCATTATCTATATTTCTATTCATTTCATTGTATTCATTTATTTTATTTAATAACGTATTACAGAATTCACTGTTTACATTTGTTTTATCATTATATTTTGTAATTTTAAGACATCTAGATATTTCATACAGATATTTTACGTCGTCTATTTTATCTTCAGTACCCCTAGTAATGTTATATGTTTTACATATAATAGCATTGTTAGGGTCTTCAGAATACAGGTCTACAATCTCATCGTAAATTTTTTTGATTTTGCCAGTTTCAAAATTATACTTAAGTTCTTGATATATCCAATAATACAGATAATAGCAAGCCTCTTCATTTGTGAAATCATATCGATGACGGTTAATATGATCCAAATAAGACAAAGATATTGGACATATATTTCTATCGCTTGAATTAGAAGTTGTGAAATAATTTATGTTAACTTTCTGACATTTATTTTTTTCCCCATCATACATCTTTTTTTTACTCTCCTCTAATGCACTTTGACACAATGGGAATGAAATTATAGATGAAAACTATAAAAAATAAGAAAAATAAAAGCATTGATATATTTAAGGTGCTTAAAAAAGATTTTATGATATTATTAAAAAATATAACCCAATATAATTATAGTATATATTAGAATAATTCAAATATACAATATTATCCATCATCACAAATAATGTTATATTATATATGATGTGAACTGTAAAAAACAATGAAATATATATGCAAATATATACAAAGATTTGAAAATAAAGACAATATACAGAAACGTTATATTCTAATTTGTAATAACAACCAAAAAAAAGTAATAATGCTATGGATAAATGTGGTATATAAGTTATAGAGGATTTAAAATATTATGCCATTCAAATAATGCATTAAAATATTAACTATAATTTTAATAAAAAAAAAATTAAATCCAAAATGTATTATATAAAAAAAATATATTATACAGTTTGTTAAAGCGCAGTATAAAATATATCATATAAATATATATCCTATAATGTTGTTTATATAATAAAAAACATTTTTAAAGAACTTAATGCTAATATAAGGTACTAGTTTGAATATATATATATATATATATATATATATATATATATAATTTATTTTTTGTTCTTATAAATTCTAGCTTCCATATTAGGGAATATAATTTAATATAAAAAATATCAAATATATGGAAAAATATATTTTAATTTTTAGCTATTAATATTATATATATTTTCATACATATTTTTCAACGTTGTTATTTTTTTTTGAAAAGTTTGATATAGGTTTTTATAATGATGCATATGCTTTTTTTTATTTGTTCCTCTGTATGATATTATTTTAAAAGAAATATGTGTGAATGATTATATACTAACATGTATCACATAATTATATAATTTACAATTACAATATATATCATATGTATATAATATATATAATAATGTATGCGTTATTTTATACTTAAAATATCGTATAATACTTTTGTTTTTATAGTTTATGTAATTAAATTTTTTGAAAGCCATTTATGTATATTATATTAATTATAAATAATTTATATTCTTTATAAAAAGAGACATTTGTATTATTTTTCAATGTGTTAAATTCAATATATTTATTTTATATATTTACATCTTTTTTAAAATTAATATAATTTTTTTTTTTTAATACAACACATTAAATAATTATATACATGTTATGCGCTTTAATAACAAAGTAATGTGTTTTTAAGGAGAAATAATAAATATTATATATATAATAATATTTTTGTTGTGTATTATATGAACATATATACAATCATTCTATTTTATGTAAAATAATTTTAGGATTACCTAAAAAATTATAAAAATATATAAATATAACTATATGAGCTTAAATTTTTTTATTATTTAAATCATAGAAAACTGTATATGTGTCTTAGGAATATATACAATATTCGGACTCATAATTATATTTCTCTAATAAAACAATTTTAGTCCTCAAAAATTTACATTATAATAACATATTTGTTAATGATTCAAAAAAGTGTACAGATTGTGTATACAACATATTAGCTATAATGCCTACCGTATTAAGAAATGAAATATAATATTATTAAAAAAATATATATATACATAAAACGATGCACAAAGGGTTTTTTTTTAATTCATATCCTTTAAGAATATAGGTATATTAAATAAAAAAATGAAAAAGGTTAAAAAAATAATTCAAATATTAGAATTCCGATTAGTTTATGTCACAATATAAGTTTACCTACAAAGGAATTATGAATAAGCTACAGAAAAAATAATTTAAAATGGAAATGTAATATCAAAATCATAATAAGTTAAAAAAAATATAGAATAACATGAAATTGAGACAAATATATGTATGTATGAATTCAATAATAAATACTCCAGATTAAAGGATTAAAATATTATAAAAATAAAGTACAATTATTTTTGATATATTACATTTATTATTTCATTATAATTTTATTATATTTTTTCTTATAATAATAAATTTGAGTAAATTTCAATGAAGAGAAATGATTTTCAAGAAAAATCAATAAATTAATGTAAAATATATATTTTCTATTTACACAAAAAAAAACCAAGTATATATTATATTTAGTAATATATTAATATATATATCATTTATGTGTTATGCATTAGCATAAATGGATTATGTATTATTTTACAATTGAATAAATTATTTATATTATAAAATATATTTTCATTGAAATGCATTATTTTAATAAATGTATATAATTAGTAAATATATTCTCATTTAATGTATAATTTTTAGTTATAAAAATTACAACCAATTTTTAAGAATGATTAGCAATGATATACAAAAATTGCAATATATATATATAATGAGAGAGACTTACTATACATTCACTATTCTATAAACCTATCTTTTAACAAATCATTTATATGCATTAAAATGATTCTATATTTTATATAATGAAATAAATATAATACCATAATTATATTAGAATTATCATTTTAAAAATATATTGGTATTACATGTGTATAACATTGTCTTATATCATAACATTTTGTGCATGTCTTATCTTGAATTGCATAAAAAAATTTATATTTATGATATTCAGTAATATTTAAATTAAATTATAATTTATTATCCTTATAAAGAATTATATTATTCAAATAAATTGATTTATATGAAGTGATATCTTAATTATATGCATCTAAAATTCACGGTATTATATTGTTAGATATATGTAAGAGAATATTCTCAGTAAATAATTATTCAAATTCAGCATTTATATTTATTCATTTTTTCTATATTACACATTGGGCCATATTATACACAAGGTTGAAGGCTAATTAATTTTCTTATTTGTAGAGTATATATTTCATTTCTTGCTATCATCAGTTGTAGTAAAAACATATTGCGTGTCAATATGACATTTACGCAAATTATTAATATATTAAATTTAATTATCATTATTTTTAAATATTTAGTTATAACAACTATTAATTTCCAGTGAATATTTATAGATTATATATTTCTTGTACATTTGATAATTATTATAGTTATTATGTGAGAGTACATCAAAAGTTGCATTTTATTTTTTTTAAATAAAAATAACTAAATATATATTTTCTCCTTTTTAAAAAAAAATTTTAATATATATTTGTTCTTGTATTCAATTGTTTATTTATATAGGTAAAATAACATTTAATCATATAATATTATTTAAAAAATTTTTAATTGAATTCATTTTACATTATTATTTTTGTTAATAAAATTTTAGAAGCATCACATTGATCTATATGCTATTTCATATGATTTTTCATTTATTTCGTTCTTCATATTTTTATATGAATCTATTAATTTCATATGATTTTTATTTTTTTTTTTCATTAACTTCCTTGAACACTTTGATTTGAACTGTAAATAAGATCCAAAAGGAGTATACTGAAAATAAAGTGGAATTATAATATTCTCATGAGTATATTATATATTTGATATAAATGTTTCATCGTAATATGTAATATAAATTGTAAAACAACATATATTAAAAACATGTAATTCATTTTGGACCTCATACAAGATGAACATATTAATCAATATTGCAAAAAATGAAAAGGTCACTCCTGTACTTATTTGTGTATCAGTATCTGTACCTGTTATTGCATCAATTTTTGCAACACTATCTGTACTTCTTATTGCGTCCATTTCAGTATTAGGATCAACAGATCTCACATTAACTAATTTTTTTAATACACCTATTTTTTTCTTTTCCAATGGGATTAAATCTATGAATGGTTTTACACCCCAAACTCCAGGATTTAATCCTTTAAAGATATTTTAAAATAAATTATTAAGTTGAAAAAGTAATAATCTAAAAGTAATGTTATAATTTCTTTCTTCATTTTCTAGTATTGCATCCGATTTCTAAATTCAATAAAGTGCGAGTAGCTTGGGGGGGGGCTTATCAGTATTCAATTTGTTTAAATTATCATATGTATCACCTAACTCTTTAAATATTTTAAATATATTTTCATCCAGATGTTCAGGATAATTACTACATTGTGCAAATAATGTAGAAATACCATTGCTTACGTTTTTGCTTAGAGTGTGCATTTTATCATAACACTCTTTATGGTTTAAACATATGCATCCACGACTTATAAGTAGATCTTTTAGTTTGTAAAAGAAATATTTACAACATGCATTAACATTACTTCTTCGATGTTTACTTATATGCTCTAAATAATAAGTAACAAGTTGGCAACGTGGAATAAAATCCCCGTTACAATAACCATATCTTTCATCATTTTCAAACTGACTACAGAGTTTTGTTAACGCACTAGTAACATGTCCACCAGGTGGAGAATATAATATCCAGTTAAAATCTCTTATACATTAGGGAAATATATCAGTAAAATCAAACTAAATATAAAAGCATTAATGAATTGAATAATATAAAATAATAAAGTTAAATAAAAATAATTTCTTGTTTTGCACAAAAAAGGATACGTTAAATTTAAATAATGTAAATTATGTCTATAATAACAATTTAAAATATACATTATGATTCTTATTTTCAGGGGGACACGTTATATAAATATGTTTGAATTAATTAATATGAATAAATTATTATCTTTATGTTTTTATATAACAAAGTTGTCAGAATGAACACTACATTGGTACGACATAATGTGACTTTTATAATATATAAAAGTTACAATATTTTTATAAATTTTAGTTATTTCCTTTTATTTATTAATTCACCGCGCTAATTCATAATCAGAATTAGTGTTTTAGTGTATTAATGCATATTAGAAAAATAGAAATATAATATTATAAATTAATGGCCTTATTATGTTATAAAAAATACACTTATTATGTAATTTTATATATAAAGTATATCAATACATTTTTACCCTCACCGATAAATTAAATGAAAAATATATTCATATAAAAACAGATTATTTTACATACTTTATTTTTATACATGTCTCTAGTTTCCATTAAGAAACGGACATAATCAAAAGCAATTTAGTATTATGCATGTTTATAATTTATTATTTATACTTTAAACATTATATTTTCTTATTATATTTTTGTTTATTATATATATTATTGTTATGGATGCTATTTATACTGAATAAATATTTAAGAATTGCAAAACACAACGAAAACTGTATTAAATTTATTATTAAATATATAATAATAATATAGGAACTATATATATTTGTTTTTTCTTCAGGAAAAATAAAAAAATATATATTATTCTATTAATTAATATTTATCATTTTGTTCGATTTTTTAGTTGAATTCAATGAAATATAAACATTTATATATCACGAAAAATAATTTACATCATAATTCCTAATAAATTAGTTTACCATTTCATTAATTTTATATTTTTAATTTTGTTTAGAGAAATGATATATTTTCAATAAAAATTTATAAGCATTAAAATAAATAATGAGCTAAACTTATAATATGCATAAAATAAACTATTTTGGAATATAATTAATTTTCCATATATTATTGAGAGATTTTTATATTTAATTCATATTTAATACATTATTTATTATACGTATTATTATTCGTAATTATAAAAAATATAAAAATTATATTTTTAAATAATTATAATATATCAAGTTACATTATTATTCAAATAATAAATATGATCCTTGAAGATATTAACTTAATACCCTAAAAATTGAATGCTTCATAAAAAATAAATACTTATGAATGTATAATTCATATTTCTTTATTATAAAAAATTGAAATATAATATACAGCACATTTTATAATATATATGAATAATTATTTTATTTACAGAATATATATTCCATATAATGCTGTAAAGAAAATTTATATAATATCTCTGAAACTAATGAGAATATGTATGTAAATAGGTATAATAAAAAGTAATACTACATCGAATTATTGCATGATATATATTTATTTTGCTGTTTTATAAATAATTAAACTAACTGGATTCTTATGTCAAGAACATTTTACACATTGTGGAAATATGAAGCATATAAAAATAAATATATACATAAGAAAAAACAAATTGTGTTGAATAACAATCAGATAAAATCAATGAAATATTAAAAAATATAATAAGGGAACTAATTTAAATATATAACTAATTTTTATGGAAAAGTGTTCATGAAAATGAAGGAAACATATTAATTATGTTTGTTATTCTATAATATATTGCCCATTGAAACTTAACTAAGGAGAAAACATATAACACAAGAATCTGCACCGAATTTTTAAGATATGAGTGCATATAGAAGCTAAGTTATATATAAATATTAATGAGTTATTGAAAATTAAAAGAAAAATATATAACTTGTAGTTAGTCTTGCAATGTTTGACAATTATATATCAAAGTGTTGATATAAGTTCATATATATTATATGACATAAAAGCAAGAATTCGTACAAAACATAATGTATACAACTATGTTTAAATATTAATTAATAATTATTATTTTACCTATAAGTTTCTATCTAATTCTATTTAATTATTATACAATATATATGAAAATAATACAATATTGAATAATACCAAAGTGCATTTGCAAAATCTCTAATTTAAAAATTAATATATGAAGCATTCAGAATGTTTATATAAAATGTATATTTTCTTAATACTCCAATATGAAATATCGAAGAATATAAAATTTTCATATTATTCATAAAATTTCATGGAAATTGTATTAATATATTATGGTAATATAATATATTAATGGCGATACATATGTTAAAATCTATTTATTATATTTGCAACCAATAATGAAATGATGTTGTTTTAAAAAGTTTTTAAGTAATTTTGTATTATTTATAAAATATTGAATCTATTTTTCAATATAATTTGTATTCTGACTCTGAATTTATTTCATTCAGTCACTAGTTATATTATGAATTTCATAAATATAAAAAAAAAATTATACACTACTTTACAAAAAATTATTCAAAACTTCTTATTATATGAATGAAAAGTAGATATATTTCGAAAGCATTAAAAAGTTATAAAAATTAAGCTAAAATAACATAATATTATTTAATTGTTCCTGCTCACAATTCATATAATTTCATGGTATGCACTAAAATTTTACATGTTTACAGACTAAGATTCTTGTTATTTGTACGAATGCATTGACACAAGTTCTTTAGTTTTTAACAATTTTTATACCTTATTAGGTGCTTTATTAAATATATAATTTATTATTTAAGCAAAAGTAAGAATGATTCTATAGAAATGATTTTATAATGTATTGAATTCATATGTTATTTCATTGTTATGATCCAAAATAAATCATCTTTCAACGATATCCACATGTATTTTTTTTTTCTTCAGCATTAATAATTATAATTATGTTTCAGTAATATATCAAATACAAATATTCACAAATGAAATATATTTTTAATGTATTAATTCCAAAATACAAATAAAAAATTACGGAAATTTTAATGCTTTAAATTGAATTTTCTCATATAATATAATAAATTATATATATTAATTTGTTAAAAGTTTGTTTGTTCATTATTTATTATATATCACATAATATTATGTACATGGTTTATAATTCTAAAATTAATAATATATAGTTTTTTACAATTTTTATGAATAATTGACATTCCTAAACTTATTTTGATTCCAGAATAAAGCCCTAAAATTCATTATTATTCGTAGATACCTGTGAATATATAATTGTTCTTATTGATAATTATGTACTATCACCTAATGTTATGATATATGTATTTGACAATAATTATATAGTACTAATTTATAAAATGCAGATTATTATTTGTTTTTTTTGCTAATATAATATAAAAAAGTGTATATAATTATAAAATGTGAATAATATTTATTTTATATATAATGTGTTATTAAAAACAATAATTGAAAAATAATATATTTTTTATTGAAATCATTCAAATTACAATTTAAATAAATATATTAAATAAATTTATGAATCCATAATATAATAAATAAATTATATTTAAATTTTTTAACGTTGTTTCAATTTCTTAATATAGGTATATATTGAATATACATGCATTAAGACTGATACAATATAAGTACAAAAGAATTTAAAATGAAATAATGTTTGTATTAAAAAATTATATGCAACAATTCAATTTATCATATAATATATTTTTATTAAGCATTTTATTATGCAAAATGATATTATTTGTAACATGTGATATATAATTTTTGCTTAAAATTCTTTTTATGTTATTTATTTATATCTAAGAAAATATATTTTATAAACCTTTAGAAAAAAATTAATTAATATACGAATTTTTTCCCTTTGATTTTTGCTGAATTATTTATATTTTATGATATTAACCTTATTATATTTTTATGGTTAGTGTTTCTCTATTATTAATATATAATATTCATTTAATAGGATAGATATTTCGATTTTAATACACTCATATTAATGTTATTCATTCGTTTTCATTCTTAGGCATTTGTTTCAAATAGTATAGTAATATATATTAAATATTATATTATTGCACAAATGTTTATTTTGTTATTTCTTTTAATTTACTAGTTTATCTCTTTTTCCTTTACTACGATACACATAATTATGGCTTTATAAAAGTAATATTTTTTAAGAATAGTTATTATATTATATATAAATAACCTTATTTCTAAGTAATAATTAATAATAATCTATAATTATGAACGTATTTATATAGTTTATTACATATTTTATATTTTGTTATTAGGTACAATTGTCTTTTTAATGAAGAAATACATCAAGAATGACATTATATACATTACATTAAATTGTGATAAGATTTAGAACATTATATTAATATTTTTATCATTGTATTAATATATATTTTTGCTCCTATATAATTTTTATATGATTTGCAAAAAATACGTATTTAATAATTCTATTTTATTCCTTAAAACAAAATATAAATCATTCACTGAATATATATTTTTATAAAGATTACTCTTCTGAGATATATGCTATTCGATAATTATTGTCATTCAAATAATTATATATCCTATCAAATGAATCCTTTGAATTTTGATGAACACTATTTTTTTTCATAATATTTTTCCTTAGATTTCTTACTATTGATTGTAAAAATGAGCCCATAATAGTAAACTAATAATTAAAAAAAAATATATTATTTTGAAAAATAAATAATTTTTGCGTCTAACATATACAAACGTTATACAATATAAATTTTAATTCGTTAAACATTTAATAAATTAAATTTATTTTTAACCTTATACAAAATTAACATAATTATTAAAAACACAACTGTGAATGCACTCACACCTGTTCCTGTATGCCTCCATACATTCATCACTGCATGCGCCACTGGAGCTGTCTCCGTAGATGTCACGTTAGATGTCACGATAGATATCACTTGATCATCTGCTGATATTGGTTTCGCATTTATAGAAGAAGTTTGACACTGATTATATTTCTCAATAAATGTGCTACATTGCGCTTTAATTTTTTCTAATTCCTTCATAAAACTTGCGTTTTCATTCCCATATTTTGCAATAATTTGGTTATACTCTTTAATAATACTATCGTGAGCACAACCATCGTTATTGTGTTCAATGAATTTTTCATAAATATCATATAGTTCTTCCAAATCTTGTAATTTACTAAATATATTATTATCTATATTATTATTTGATGCATATTCATGACAGATATCAGAAATTTTTTGGGTGAAAAATGTACTCATACTCGATCCCATTATTTGACGATCTGCTTTCATTATATTATAGCATTCTACAGTCGTACTGCATGTTCCATTATATGTTTTCACCATATGCTTCAATTTGTAAAAAAAAAATAAACAGCTTCTTTTTTTTTCCCCCTGGTGCCTGCTTTGTATGTGATTTAAATAAATACCAAGATTTTTACAGTAATTCGCAGCATTAAAAGAATTCTGACGCGTTCCACAAAGTCCAGTATTATTCATAATATTATGGCACATATTTAATAGATTATTTGGCAAAACTGATGTTTTACCTTCAATCTCTAAATATTCTTTTCTACATGAGGGAAATATACCTTCAAAATCGAACTAAAAATTATAAAAAAAACAAAAAAATTAGAAATAAGATTAAAAAAAAAAGATTTTCTTGAATATAACATATAATCGTAGTTTCTAGTTAAAAAGTACATATTTTTATTACATAATATACCAAAACTTACATTATCGTTCACATCTCTACTCCCAGTCATTATATCTAATATTAAAGAATTTTTTATATATTTTATTACAATAATTTTATAATTAAAATATAATGGTAAAATATAGATGGATACAATATTCCATAAATAATACTATTTATAATATTCATAGGAACACTTTTAATTTATATTTTTATTTATTTTCCCTTATATATTATACTACTGCATAATAATTATATTGTTATATGGGAAAAAATTTTTAATATAAATGCATATTATGTAAAATGAATTATAATATTCTTATATTATATAAATAATAAATAATAAATAATTCCTTTTTAATGAAGTTAATTAAAGAACACTATAATAAGAGCGTTATTTTTCTATATTATGGTTCAACTGTGATATTTATACTAATAGTAAGATATTTATCGTAGAATATTTATTCAAAATTTTTTAATTCATTTTAAATACGGTATAATAACGATGCAACTATGAGTAATATATATTTTGGTTAAATATATAATATTTCGAATGCATTTTTAAAGATTAGCTTATGTTATCAGCTTTTTCAAACTAATCGAATGATGTTTATTGAATTCAAAAAACAGATAAAATATTTTAAACTCTTACTTATATCAGATATATTTATTTACACTTATTGAATATATAATTGCTGTTGAATATATATGTTTGAATTAATATTATATATCATATAAAATATGTACTTTTTATAATTAAATTTAATATGCAATTATATGAATAATTTAATCTTCTTAGCCTTATAAATAATAAACATATTATATTTTACATAAATATAACAAGGTTAAATGCATTCTTGTATTATGATGCATATATACAATCAATATTAAAAAATAAAGTATCAATTATTATTTTTTAATTTAAAAATATACCACTTAATTTTTATTATATAGTGTTTGAAGAGAAAAATATATATAACAAAATAACATCTCATTCACATAAAATATTAATTTTAGTATACAAAATATGTGCATATTGTTTTCATATATTACTTTTCATGGAAGAATAATAATTCTTACATCCGTTTATATATTTATATTTTATTTAAAAGAAATAAAAATATATTAATTCAATGCACAGTATTATGAATTAAGACTGTTAAATAAATAATATCAACAACATGTATACCATTGCGCAAGTATAAGCGTATAAATCATTAAATATTCTTAAAGAGAATTCCACATATAATATAAAAATTGTAATACATATATGTTTATTTTTCTTTTTCTGGAATCTTTTAGTGATTACCAATATAGAATAAATTATGTAAAAACATATAAAATATAATAAAAATAAATAAGTACAATATATTTTTATTTATTATGATAATAATTTTTAAAAAGGAATAAATTATTGAAAATTATATTAAGATAAAAAGTACCTGTTTTGGTAATATATTAAGAAGGTTACTTCAAAATTTTATATATATAACAGAAAAGTATAATAATATTTTATTCATAATATTTACTATTATACGATGTTAAAAATAAAGTGTATATTATAGAAAACTTAATATTTTAAATCAATGATTTACATTTCGCTTCATAAATGTGTTCATTATATCTATAACACATTAGGTAATGATACCTTGGTTATTGTAATAATTCTTAATATTGTGAATTTGTTCAAAATATAAAAAAAAATTTTTCTAATTTATTCATTGTATTGTAAATTTAAATATTTAAGAGGAATAATGTTTTTTCTTGAATATACCTATTGTTATTATTTATGAAAAATAATTATTATATTGTATATATTTTATTTACTATTATATTAGGAAAAATATTATTTTCTTTCAAATATTAACACTAGTAAAATTATCAATAATATAACGTTTCTATATAATCTAGGAGTAATCTGATTATTATATAGTTATGTATGATATAATGCAAAATCCATTGTTGGCCTAAAATCCATGATAAGATATATACTAGTTTATTAGTTAAATTCATTTATTAAATGTAGAAAATTAAATATCTTTTATAAAGAAATGTTATACACAGGGTAGTATAAAACATTATACTCAAGAGAAAAAGATAAATTCTATAAAAATTAACTATATAGGCTTAGAAGAACTTTCAATGATATAAAAAGTGGTTTATATAAAATATTGATCAAAATAGTGCATTGGGAATATCCTATGTTTATAGAAAATATGGAATTTTGTAATCAGATACTTTTGACAACCAATCATGTAGTATATGATAAAAAATATTTAATATAATAATTAATAACGTACTCATCAAAAAACTGGGTAGTCTATACATAGATAAAATTAACGTTAGGTGTATTATGAGGTCCTATGTATAAATTGAGTATTTTGATCATCCAAGAATATGACTAATATAAGAAAATGTAACTCTTATTATATATATAATATAAGAATTAAAAGAAAAGCAAGTTAATAAATAGGAAAAATATCATTTCTTATTTTAAATATTTAATAGTTATTCTTTTCTCTTCTAAGATTATAAATTTATAGACCTAATAAATTATATGAGTAGTTCAATGAACAGTAAATAGAAATTTACGCAAAATTTATTCCTGAATAATTAATTGGATGTATAGATGAGAAAATATACGGTATACTCAGGTAAAATTATATAATACATTAATAAAACAAATTGTATACTTTTAATACAATTTTCATATATTATCATTAAGATAGTAAGAAAATTCATAAAAACCATGTTCATTTAATTATATGCAAACTTAGACTTTAGTATGCATATGAATTATAAAAATCATTATCGAATATTTATTATTTTAAATAATTTTTGATTCATTTATATTATTTAATGTATACTAATTATAATAGTCCATAATCAGTTTCTACTAAAATGTAATTGTTTCATTAGATATTTTAATAATTTATAAAAGAACTATGAATGTACATAATTTATTATTTACTTAAGATTAATAAAAGAATTTAATAATTAGTATAACTGTAAAATATATTATTATTACATGGAATCTATTCTCAAAATATGTAAAATAGAAAATACAATAAATTTAATGTTTATTATTTACAGTTTATATAAATTATAATAAGAAACCCCCAATTATAATTATTATTAATACAAGCAATATATTACATATGTATAAGATTATTATATATGAATGTCATCATTTTATAAAGTAATGATTGATTTAATTAAATATAAAACTATATAAATATATATGAAATTGTTACCTTAATAAAAACATATATTATTTCAGACATTAATTTTTCACCTATCCATGGAGACTATAATTTAGTATAAATGACATAACAATTTATTATTATACTATAATACGTTTATTCATATATAATATTAAAAATAAATAATATTAATAATTTAAATCGGTTGTTGTTACTTATAATTTTTATTAAAAATATTTTTAATATATTTCTTTTGTATATACACATCCTTGTTTAATACTTTTATATTTTACAGAATTACCTTTTTTTATGTAGTACATATATATACATATGAAAAAAAAAAATCGGTATTTGCATGATTTCACAGAAAACAAATATATTAATATTATGCTTAATTCTCATGTGTCAAGGGAGAATATAAACCTTTATTTATAAAACACAGTATATCATCTTGTTATATAGTCATAATGAATATATAATATAAAAAAATAATAATTATGTAGTATTATACATTACAGATGACACATGTATAATCATTATATATGTAAAATAATAATATTTATAATTATAATCAATAAATATCAAATATATCAATTTACAACCACAATTATTATATAATCATTATAGAAGACACTAATATGCAGAAATGTATTTTTGTAATATAATTAGAAATTGTGTTGAATGATATAACTAAGCAAATATAGTAGTAATAATGCATTATAATTTTTAAAGTGCATTTCTTTAATAAAATTATATTATTATTATTGAAATATAATATTAATAATTTATATGTAGAATTACAGGATTGTCACAGTGAATATGTATAAATTTCAAATTTAGGAAAGTGTAATATACACTTCATAGAAGAAAGATTCACTTATATCTGGATTATAAATAATTTATAAAGTATTATAAAAAATAATTTTATTAGCGATAAATGTTGTTTAATTTCTTACATATATACAAGAATCATTACTCATATTTATCTGATGCATCTATTAATTTAAATATACATTCGTTTTCTTGTATTAAAAAAATGATACTAAATCTATTATTTCATAAAAAGAAAATAAATGCTGCATATTTCTTTAATAAAATGTTTTTATTTTTTTTCTTCTCTTACACAACCTCATATATACAATTAAGTTGTGAATGTAATCAATCAAAAATCTATTTTACAATACGATTAAGCAATGTATCTTACAGATAATATTATTCATAGAATTGTATGTTTAATGATGTAATTAATCTAAATTATATGGTTCATTGTATAACATATCAGTTGAAATATTTTTTCATTTTTCAAATTGCTGCATTCTATTACATTCTTCGTCATATTATCGTATTTATTCCTCATTTTTTTTATTCTACGATTGATATATGATCCATAGTATTTTAACTAAAATATTATATATAAATATGAGTATTAATGATATAATGTTTTTACGATAATATTATATTTAATTATAAAAATTATCGATATATTATTCTATATAGTAATGATAGCTATGTTATCCTTGCACAATATAAATACATAATATGTTATTATTAATATTATAACAATAGGTATTATAAAAAAAAGTGAAATATTACGTTGGCAAGGGAGCATTTCATCTTTTTCACTAATCTTAGGAACCTTACTTTATACTCGTTCTGTATATTCTTTTGTAATATTACTTAGTGCTTTAGAAATATTTTCGACTTTATCCCATCCATCATTATCATTTACATTATTAAAAAATTTACATAAAACATATATGAGGATGATTTTTATTTTTTTTCCATTGGCTAAATACTAATCATACATAGATTGATCGCATATGTAATGTATTTCTTGATTAGACCACTTTGTTATCAATTTTTTATA